AAATTCTTTTCAAATAGTTTAAATAAAGATTGTTATTATTGAAATTGGAAGATCTCAATTATTGAAAGGAAAGTAATTAAATTATTTGATATAAAAACAGAAAGAATTTAGATCATCAAACCTTTCAAGCAGAAATCTATAAGCTCAAAAAGAATTTAAACCAAATTTAACCAAACTCTAAAAAATCACAAGTATTTCTCAAACAAATTTCAATAGTTATTTAAAAAGTTTGTTAAATAGAATAAACTTTCCTAGAGGCAACAAAAATAAAAAATCAAGCCCTTGTTAATGGAAATTCTAAATTTGTACCCAACTTTTAGAAAAGCACTTGAATTTGAAATTTTCATAAGTATATATGTTTTAGAAAATCAAACTAGAAAGAAATTGAAATATTTTATAGAATAAGAAATTATTAACAATTATATAGTGATAATTGAAATAGAAAACTTTGGAGTTCAAATAATTAAAGAGTATATCTATTTACCAAAATACTTATAAGCCCTTATAGAAGAATATAGAATTAATAAGAATAGTAATTTCCAACAGTTATATTGTTTTTATATAGATGAATTATATAAAAAAGCAAGAGATTAAATAATAAAAATAGGTGTAGTCTGGTTATAAGAAAAATAATTAAATTCAAATAGTTTTTTTTAAGCAGGAGTTAATAACTGACTATTAATACTTTAAGCATAACTCATAACAATTATTCTCATACTTCTTGTTCTACCTCAAAAAAATCAAGTAGAAATTAGAATGGATAGCACTATTTATATTAATACTCTTTGAAAATTATAAAATTTCCATATTAGAAATATAGAAAAAAGAAATAGAAAGTATAAAAACTGACAATTATAGATAATATATATTAATCTAATATACTGTATAAGAAACAAATTACAATTCAAATAACCAAAGTCAAGATATATAATAAAGACAAAGCCAAAAACAAAGTAAATATTCTTGCTAAAGAAACTAAAAAAGAATCAAAAAATTGTTTGAACTAATTGATAGTGGCAAAGAACTTTGGCAATACTTTAATAAAACAAAATCCCTATTAATATAAGGATAAGAGATTTCATTAAAGAAATATATAAAAAAAACATATTAACAAAATGAACTAATTAGAACTATATATAAAAAAAATAATTTAAAGAAATAGATAACTAGAAGAACTTCAATTGGAGAAGCTTTTGAAAAATAAATAAAGTAGAAGGATCCTTGAAAACATTAATAAAACAGATTAAAGAAAAAGTCTTTTATATAAAGATAATATATAATAAACTATCAATACTAAATAATATAAATAAAAGATTTCTTGAGAGATATAGAAATTTAACTAAGTGTATATATTGCAAACAAGAAAAAGAATCTCTCAAATATCTCCTTTTCTATACATATACTGTTAAACTCTATAAAGAAATATGAAATAAAATTTAAGACTAAATACTTAACAATTAAGGCTTTGAAAAGTATTGAACTGGTACCAAAGTGGTATTGAAATGGTATCGATCTATAGTAAATTTAATATATGGGTTGTAACTCACTTATATAAATTTATAGTAAATTTAAATATTGAATTGGTATTGAACAGATATTAAAATAGTATTATTAGAAGTTTTACTAACAATTGACTAAAGGTTGTACAAAAAGAAAAAGTTTAGAACAAGCATAACATCTTTTAGAAACTCTTATAAAAATAATACAAAAAGTAATTTTTTTTTTTAAAAAAATATTATAAACATCTGTTTAGAATTGTTTTAAAAAGAAGATATCATAGAATGGATCCAATTACTAGCAAAATAAAAATCAAGATAGATGAAATAAAATATCCATTGAACAAGTTCTCAAGAGTTATTTGTAAACAAGTCCAAAAAAAAATATAAAATTATAGATATATTAGATTATAGAACTTAAAAATAAAACTAAAGATACATAGATAAGAAAAAAAAAATAATAATGTTATAAAAAAACATAAAAAAAGAAATCTAAAGGTAAAGAACAAAAAAAAAAAAAAAAAGAAATGAATACAAACTTTAAGATTCTGCAAGATAATAATATAGAAAAATTTATTTTTAACCAAGTTCAAAACAAACTATTAATTTGAAAATGGATCAAAGAAGAGAAAAAATAGTTAGGATTATAAAAGGTAGTTTAAATTTTGCTTAGATGAACTATAATAATGAACTGTAGACAATAATCTTTAATGTTAAACTCTATAAGTGGATAGATAGAAAAAAAAACAACTTTTTTTATTTCCAAAATCATATCTAGAAACATTTATCTAAGACAAGTATTTAAAATAATAAAATAGTTTATATAATATAATATATTATATATTATTTGTTTTTTAAAAAGATTCAATAAACAATATACACTTGTTTGACTATAGAAAAAACAAAAAAAATTGTTATTATATAAGATAATTTTTTTTTTACTTCTAATCAGATTACAAGCCACTATATTTATTAATCTTTTTAGACAAAATATACTAATACAATTTTATATTATCACTAAATATTTTTATAAGCTATAGTATATCTATCAATAAATCTAATAAATTTATATATGATTCTTGAATCCTTAATATTAAGACTATTATGTTATCTACATAACCTAATTATTTACTAACTATTTTATTACAAGAGAGTTAATTTATTATGCTATTATTATATGGTATTAACTATTTTAGACTTTATATATTTTTTTAACTTTCTAGATAAGATTATAGAAAATAAATAAATTGTTTCTTTTTAGTAAAATACTTTACTAATCTCAATTAAAAAGTTGTTGTTAGTTAATATTTTTGACTATTATATTAACATAACCATTGTAATTTTAAGAAATAAAAATTTTTATTTTCTAGAATAAAAGGAAAAAGAATAAAGAAGAAAAAGAAAAGTTTATCTTGATAAATAAAAATCTATTTAAATCAATTACTAGTCTAATAAGAATCTTCTTTGATTTTGAAAAGAAAAGAAACTAATACAAGAAAAGAAACCAGTATAAGAAAAAAAAGAAAAGACTTTAAATTATTTTTAACAAGAGAATATTTTGACACCTTGCTCTTTTGTCATATCCAGTTGCATCATTAGTTTTAATATAATATAATATGAAACATATGAGAAATATATATCTTGTTTATATTTCTTTAATATATTAATCAACTAGTTCAAGATTTTAATCAATTATCAATCAGAATTTCTGATATAATAAAAAATTCAGGATTAAATTGAGATAAGCAAAATTTTCTAGAAAAAATTAAAAAAAATTTTGATATACTTGAAAACATTACCATAATATATGATTGATGAAAAAGAATTATATATTTTAATAAATTTTCTATTAGTTTATTTACTTACCTTAATCTAAGATATTTACTTATAATGAATTCAAGATTCTTATAAAACTTAAAAAAAGCATTTATTAATAGTTTATTTTCTAGAGTTCCAAACCTAAGGAAAATATAGTAGAGAGTATTTTTTCAACAGATTTTTTCTTTCTAATAAAGTATTCTTGCTATAAATTAATTAAATAAAGTTTTATTTATTTTGTTATTAAAATATACAAAGTTTTTTAAAAAAGGAAAGATAAATAAATAGGAGAAGGCATTAGCCTTTAAGAAGTAAAGTATTAAGAAAAATATATAAATTTTATTATTAAAGAAAATAAAATTTTTTTTGAAAATATTTGTTTTTTGGGTTGGCAAAAGAATTAATAAAAAAAGTTTTTATATAAGATAAAATTATATATTTTGATTATATATTTTAATATATATTAATAAACTAATACAAAATTTTTTTAATCAATAATCAAAAATTCAAAATTAAACTAAAATAAAAAATTTTTTTTAAAAAAATTGAAAAAAAGTTTAAATATTTAAAAAATTTTTAAGAAATTTAAAAAGAATAAATTAAATTAAATTAAATTAAAACTTTAAAATCAAGTAATTATTTTATTTAAAATAATAAATATTAAATAATATAAATATTTTAATTTTTATTTTTTTTGTTATAATTAATTATTTATTTAAAATTTTTATTAATTAAAAAAAAATATTAAATTTATTTATATTTTTTGTTATATTTTAATTAATTAATTTAATTTAAAGTTAAATTAAAATAAATTAAAAATTTTTTAAAAAATTAAAAAAAAGTTTTATTTATTTGAAAAAAATATAAAAAAAGTTTTAAAAAAAATATAAGATTTTTTAAATCAAGTAATTGTTTTTTTTATATTATATTTTAACAAAATAACAAATCATATATATTTACAATATATTTTATATCTGCTATATATATTATACTATATATTTTATATTTACTTTCTAATAAATGTTATAAATTTTAATATAGAATTTTTTAACAAATTTTAGTATACAAATTGTATAAGAAAAAAAAAATTTTTTTTTAACATTGTTTTATTTAAAATTCAAATACAACATACTCTATTCTTAATCAAGATTTTCAAATCCAAGGTATTTAGCATAGAAAAAAATAATGACAAATAATAATAATCATCATTATTTTAATAACAATCATTTATTTATTAATTATTTTATTTTTTGTTATACAGTATATGCTGTTTGCAATACGAGTAAATAAATTATGGTTAGTTGCCAATTCCACAATTCTGACATTTATAATAATTTAAATATTTGCTTGCAATTATTAAAAATTTTAATCTATTGCTTTTATTGTCTGTTTTCTTGATCTCTAGAAATTTTAAAGCATTTCATTGAAAGCACTTTAAATAAGATTTTTTTTTTTTTTTTTAAAAAAAAAAAATGCAATAAATCAAATCACGTAAGCGTTTTGTGATAAAATCTATTTGGTGTTTGCTATCGTAATGTCATTTGACTGTGTAGACGATCAGACGATCACAAGACTGCTACGTTATTGGCCAAGTGAATAATTATAAATATCGTAAGCATTTCACATCCAAAAATACAAAATTTTGATTTTTCAAATATTTAACGAATTGTATTTATGGAATCAAATATGAAAGAAGAATTGTTACAATACATCAAAGAAAATCTATCAACCATCTACTTTAAAACCTTACAGGAGAATGAAAACGAGCCAAGCGATGATGAAAAACTGGCATATATGAGGCAAACTCTGGATGATCCAGCATTGTTTTTGTCAAAATGGGGAAAGTATTTGCCAAAAGAGCAATTGTTGAAATTTGAAGGATTAAGAGGTGGGTATTTAAATCAGGGTATGAGGAATCTTCCTTTTGCACCTAAGCATCCATCCTCTCATCTTACAATTCTTTGTAGCCGACTACGAAATCAATTGGCACCTAAATCAGATACAAAAATCCACGCCTTTATCAGTATCTCGAGATTTGCATCCCAAAGCTCGCCATAACAAAAAAATATTGAACAGACGATATAGATATCTTATAACTAAACTTGACAACAGTTCGTACTTTAGCGATGAAGCCATGGAATACCGGGAACCGTTGCTGTATGAAGACTATGTGGGTCAATACATACCTGATGAGGAAAGATATCCCCCATTTGCCGACAATGTTGATTTAGTAGATAGAATGTTGTACGATATTGGTAGGTTATCAGTCATGTTGGCTTGAAGTTATGGATATCATAGTGAAGTCGGATGCGAGACGTGCGTGAATTGATTTTTTGGTGAAATTTAACGATTTGTTCTATTGGGATGTTTGTATCCATGCTTTCTAGATCAGAGTTATATAAATGATCGATTAGAAGAAGAGAGAAGAGTACAAGAAGAACAATTTGAGGAAGAGGAGGAGGAAGAGGAAGAGGAAGAGAAAGAAGAGGAAGAAGATAACATACAACATGCAGATTCCGTGAATGTCAGAGAATCGACGGAGAATGTTTCTACAAATATTAGTAGTCCGCAGATACAGGAACAATCGACAGTGATGCAAGAGCCATCAGGAAATGACATTGTTAATAGCAACGGAGAAATAGAAAGTGGAGTAACAACTTTGGAGTCCAATCGACCGCATATTTCAGATGAGGAAAAAGAACAGTTAAGGACGGATCTTGTCGACATAATGAGGGAAAAATTTGTTTCCGGAAATGACGTGAGTTCTTCTATGGTGTTTACTCGTTTTGCGATATAGGATTTACTTATGTTTCAGTGCATACCATATTCCGTTAATTTTGAAGCCTTATTTCGACTATGATACCGTAGATTTCAATGAAGAATACGATGACATTAGCATTGAAGAACAAGACATTCAAGGTAAATTAGTAGAATTGAAATAATATCCATATTTGTCTGTGAGCTAATCGGTTCGTCATTATTATTTTCAGAAAAATATTTTGAAAACGGCAAGTGTAAAATTTCGCTGCAATTTAAATTAATTGATACATTTCAAATTAAACATCTTTCGTTTATAAATTAGAACCCGAAGATATGGATGAGGTTGATACGGGAACAGGTGTTTTGGACTACTGAATTTGCACCGTATCTTTATTCACGATATTATTGATTAATAAATAATGAAATGAATGAAGTACTTTTGGTGACTTGTTGAAAGGACCTACGTTGTAATTCAACAACTAATAAGTGATAATTGTGGTTAACATAATCTATGAATGTTGTGCTCTTCTTTCGATAAATTCTTACAATTGTTCTGCTAAAATAGCGTCCAGTTGACTTTCATAGTTATATTTTTAACGTATACTTTCTATAATAACTTCATGACAATAAAACAACCGAGCACACCAACAATAACGCTAATCCCAGCAACACCGTTTCTCATTATATTTGCATTCGAAGACTTGGTAGAAGTCGAGATAACACTAGCGGTCGAACTCGGAGTTATACCAGAGGTGACGCTAGAATATGAATTAGTGATGGTGGCACTCTGATTTGGCAAATCATCGGCAGGTATTGGAGGTACTTTTCCAGCATTTAAAATAGTACCCGAGATTACAATTGATGTTTTTGTTGAAGTGGTAGCAGCGATAGCATTTTGGTGAAAAACTGTTAGAAAATACACCACCAATATCATCAGAGCGTTAAAAAATATCCTTTTAGACATTTTGATTACTTAATAAAGTAGCCGGTGCTAAGAACGCCCTTCTTATTTTAATTAGGTTTTGTTATCCTGCGGGTAAGAGAAAAAAGAAATCTTTACATAATGATTTAGAAAGAAAGGTAATTTATTTGATAGACAATTAATTAAGCCATACAATCACAAATTGGGCTTAGTAAAAAACGATTTCGTCGTAGTTTAATTCTAAAATTATACTGTCTAGGAAAAAAAAAGAAATGGGATTCTCGAGGAATCAACTTTAAAGGTTACACTCACAAGCCTCATCGGTCGATTTTTTTTTTAACAATCAAAATTTATCCTCTATTTGGAAGGAAAACGGTCTAAAGTAGAGCAATGATTGGTAATAACCTTGGTTTTTGTGTGATACTATTATTCCATATGTCTCTACGTTAATAACATCTTGTGTTGAAGAACTTTTATTCATTTTTTGTCAATTTCTTCCTCACGTGCATCTAATAACGATCTTGTGAATTGATCACCATATTAACTTGAATGCGCCAACAGTTACAAACACTTATTAATTAAGCACCGTTTTTGGCTATTTGACGAGTTACTCTACTCGATCTATTCGGTTGAAAATATTTTCATGATACGTTGCATTAAATCCGATCTATTCATGTACAGCTTGTTGGTAAGATTCTGCTCAAGAATAAGAACGGAATGACGGGTCCGGCGAAAAGTATATGCTTTGACATAATTCAACCGCATCAACTCGGCATAACAAATCCGAATAGCTACACGCATGAAGAATACGATTTAATTGAATAGTACAATAAGGTGTCTTTCACATTTCATGAGAAAATTATCAAATTTATCGCGCACCTTTTTCTAAAGCCGGCTAACATTTATGTTTGATTAAAACTTAAGTCATCTTTATTATAAGCATCTAATTAATCTTGCTGAGAAATCACTAGGCATATTGTATGGTTTCCTACGTTCCTCCTACCAGTACTGAACGATTTTTCTTGATAGTCATGCACCTTTCGTTCGGTGGCTGTATTTTGGTGTAACCCTTACGAGTGGGAAGCTGGAATTTAAAGAACCATAATACTGTAGTTTGTAATATCAGAATTTAAGTTTGTTCCACGAGCAACATCCTATATAAAATGCCAAACCCCAGGACTTGGTCTGAGTTCTTTACGCTACGCACATGCAAGTGTACGCGAGCGTACATGAGGTTACGTCGCGAATGTATGCTAACTGTGTTCTAATTAAGATCGAACGTGCGTAATGCCAAGAATACATGCTATGCATGCTATAACAATATACGTCGGGTATATGTCCAAACACGAGTTATTCGGCAGCGAAACTGTGTGTTTGATATTGGCTTTAAAATAATAATATCCGGTGACATTTTACTATTGAATAAAAACAGCATTAAAGTCGTTAAATCCAACTACTGTACAGTATATTGTTGTACAATTAACATTGTTAAAATACAAAATCTATTTAATATATTTTTTGATAATATAATGATAAATGTTTAATATTTTTCTTAAAAAATGATTTTAGCAAAGAATCCTAAGAGGTTTCATTTTTGCGACCCGTGTGGGCTATCTATACTGCGTATTACTGTACATATTTACCTTTTTTATTCTCAAACTAGTACTGTAGTCAAAACATCGACTAATATGTACTCAAAGGTAAACATGTCCCAAACATTAATTGTAAGCAATTTTGTACTATGAAGGACGCAATTATTTGAGAAACAATAAGCATAATCCTCTCATTGAGCTTCGTGCTTTTCCACTTATATGAACTTTAGTATCATAAGGAAAACCACGTTTATACATAGTTAGCATAATATGGAATGCATGATCAAATCGTGCATCGGAATGCGTATATTTGTTATTTTTAAAGAGACATAATAACGAAATGCCAAGGCATTTTTGGCACAAATTACATAACATACACGCCTCCCAAGTTTCAATAGTTCACATAAAAAAGGAGTAGTTTTAAAACTTGTGTCACCAATAGGCGGTCGATGCGATTTTTAATATGCGACGAACATTCTTAGAACTTTATGTGTGCAGCAAATCGGTGACACAGATTTTCGAAAGAAGATCAGAATACTTACGAAAATAGCAAGATAGATGGACTGAAAAAGATTATTGGAGCGCCAAAATTTCTCTACGGAGCATTTTCAGTTTCATGATCCTCGAGTTTCTAAGAATGATGATTTTGCATGCAACAGATGCACCAATAAACTAGATAAACATGACCAATAAATAAAAGTTCGGAATTAATTTCTGGTCTATCCATAATAAACTAATTTGGGTATGAAATGCAGAAGAATTAAACATAATTTACAATGAACATTTTATGTAAGAAACTTCAAACATGGCCCTTTGTCATTAACCTTTTGGGGGTTGAAAAGGGGAACATGTGTCGTGGATATTCACACTTGGCAATAATTGGAGCCCAGTAAAATGAATCAATCTCATTCTTTTCTTTTCCTGTTGCATACTGAAAAAATGTTTATAAAGATCGCAAAATCCCCTTGAATTTTTACACAAAATCATAAAATCTTTTCTTGAAGAAAAGAAAAAAAAAAAAAAAAAAGATCTTTCATATTGCATTTTCAAATAATTCAAAAAACCATACTTTCATTTTATTTTTCAATTAAAACAAAAAAAAACATGTCTCGTGTTAATTTATCTATCTTGGCCATCTTCTTGATCGCTCTCTTTGCGATTAGCTCTCAAGCTGCTGACATGACCATAATGGTCGGTAAAGGAAATACATTAACATTCCAACCGCAAAATGGAACAGTTTCCAAGGGTGACGTCGTAAGTACATTAATCAAACCATTCATGACTCGTTTGTTTATTTGTTCGACTTTATATACCTAATAATTTCATCCGATTTCTTTAACAATAGATCACTTTCATGTTCGTCGGTGGTACTCACAGTGTTCTCCTAGCAGACACTGCCGCTACCAAATGTAATATGTCCACCAAGATTGCAAACCCAAGTATGAATTCCCAAAAATTTCATTTTTTTTTAATATTTTTTTCACTTGTCTACTCTTTTGCTAATTTCAATAATATTTTCTATTTAGAAATCGCTGGTCCAACTGCAGCTGGTGGCAAGAACGCTACCTACACGGTAACAGGTGATATAGCCAAGATCTGGTATTACTGTGGTGTTCCCGGACACTGTGACAAAGGTATGTGGGGTCTCTTGTCCCTTTCTACTGGTACTCCGAGTAACTCCACCTCCACTGGTGACGCCGCAACCTCTACCGACGCCTCCTCACCAACTGGTGATGCCACCATGTCGATGCCAATGGGGACAATGACAATGTCAATGTCAATGACAGGGTCAATGACAGGATCAACGCCGGGTTCCACTGCCCCAAGCAGCAGCGGTGCTGGACGAGTTGAATTTAGCACTGCAGCTGTTGTCGGTGGTTTCATACTTTACGTCGCTGCTCAGTTACTATAAAAAAAAAAAATCATTTCTTTCTTTTTTAACATAATATTTAACGTGTGCAATGCAAAACTTAGAGGCTTGAGAGGCTGATGGGATTTTTACTATGGCAAACATTTGAGTTTATCCATATAATAATAATCAAAAATGTAAATGCAATAATAAAGATTTTTTTTTTTTTTTGCGAGTCAAATGATTGTTGGTCAGATTACCGAATGTACTGTACATGTTGTAACCTATCTTGCGTATGCGAGCTAACTATGGACGCGAAAAACAATAATCATAAAGTCACCTCAAATTTCTGTTGCTTCTATTAACAAGAATTTTCATTCGCTCAATAGAACTCTTTGGTTGATCAATTTATATACTATAATAAAATTAAATCGATCATCATCAAAATGATCATTTATTTACAGTAAATAGTAAGAACCTATAGTTTGTTTTTTATAATAATTAATACAGTCACCATTATTCTTTATTATTAGCTTACAAAGCTTGTTTACATAAATTTTTGTTATATTTTTTAGCATTATTCTATAGAAACTGTTATTATCATCATTCTATATACCGTACTATCAAACCAGATATACGTGTTATAATAAATAATTATTTTTAATTTTATTTACAATGTTTTTTTAATCAAATAAAAAAGATAATTTTATTATTTTATTATTAAAAAAAGAGTTTTTTAAAAAATCAAAAAATAATAAGATAAATTATTCGTCAAAGATTTCTTATAATTTAAATCATTCCATTAAAATGTTGTTTTAAAAATATTTTTTATTAAAAAAAACAAACAATTGTATTTTTTTGAAAGATGTATAATTAATTTATAGAATTTTATATATTAAAATGATTCCATGATTTATTTATATGTAAAAGTATAATTATTTATATTTATATTAATACTATTAAATTAATTAATTATAGGTTTAACTAATTCATATTATTCAAAATATTAATATAAACAAAAATTTGATTAAATGACAAATAAAAAAGAAATAATCTAAATAACATTTTAAAAATATATACATATTTATAATTACAATATTAAAATTTCAATAGAATACATTCATTAAAAATTTTTCTGATTTGAAGATTTTAATTACTTATTTTAACAGCTCTATAGTTTTAAATTGTATTTAATATTTTATTTTTAATTTTTGTTAAATTAATTTTTATTTTATTTTATATATTCATTATGATTAAATTATTAATAAAATACTGTATATCAAATAATGAAGTTCTTTTTATTTACTTCTGTATTTTATTTAAATGATTATTTAAATTTGTTTAAAAATTATGTAATTGAAATAATTTTTTTAATTATAATTTTTACAATTATTATTAATTACTGGTGAGTTTATAATTGCCAGCATGAACTAGTTCTTCGCGTGACAATATTTTAATTTTAAAGTTTTTTGTTCACTCGAAACTTTAGTATCTTTTCTATGTTAATCGTTTTAATAACAGGATATACAGTATTTTTTAAAAAATAACCATCCATTTATAAGAGGTCGATACTTTTTAATTTATTTTGAAAATGTGTGAATAGATTGTTAACAAATAATAAACTACCAGATTGAAAAATAAATATTAATATTTGTAACATTGAGAAAACTTTTCCATCAAATCTTTATTTACAGTATATCATAGTCCTCGAGATATTATAATAATAGTATATTATCAAATAACTGCGAGAACATAAGACATAAAAACTAAAATTGATAAAGATCATTTGTTAAAAGAATCTACTGTATATGTTATTTCATTTATAAAATCTTTAAAATTTCCTAAGTTTTAAAAGCTATTAATTACGCATAACACACGAAATAAAAAAACAGCATGAAATAGAAAAGGTTTAATTGTATATTGGTTAAAGGAAAAAGCAAGAATTAAACATTTTCATTAATCAAAGAGATTTCTAGCAAATAAAATATAAGCATTAAATAAAATTAAACCACGGTATAACTTATCAAATAATTTTAGTATTACCGAAAGGTTACAATACTTCGAGTTTATGCAAACTTGAGTCCGCTAAATAAGGTATTAAAATTAAAATTTGTTAATAAAATAAAATATAAATGTAACGAACGTTATGCTCTCTATAGTATATTTACCTGTATAGTCATCCGACAACATTTCAAGTTCTTTCTCATAATCCGGGGCGTTTTTTGGTTGTGATAAATTTGAAAAGTTCAAAAGTCTGCTAGTATAGATAGCATTTGGGTGTGTTTTATAATTAAGTCCCGAGGATTTACTGGTTGGTGATTCTTTCGAAAGTTCACTTTCGTAATCTTTAACTTGATCCTTAAAATCCGAAGGTTCATCACTTTTGATCAAATCAATCCATTTAGCTATTGTCTTAAATATTTCTCTAGCACCTGGTCGCTTCGATGGCCTTGCATCCCAACATTGCATTATTAATCTGACTAAAAATTTCTTCGTCTTGAATGGAATTTTTGGACGTAAGCCTTGACAGATTTGTACAGCAAGATCTTGATTATGAGGAATATTATAGTATGGAGGAAATCCTGTGATAATTTCATATGCTACCATTCCAAATGAATAAATATCTGCTGCCGGTGTGTAAGCATGACCACACAAGACTTCGGGTGCAATGTATGGAAGAACTCCACAAATTTCTTGGCGAGTTTTGCTTTCTTGAGTATTATCAAAAAATTTACAAAGACCTAGATCCGCAATAAACAGGATTAACCTATAATCATATAAAAGATTTCCAGGATGAAAGTCTCTATGAACTAATTTCCGAGAGTGCATTTCACTTAAACTAGCCGAGATATGTAGTAAAGAATTTAGTTTTAATTTCAAATTCATCTTGTAAAAATTTTCGTCCAAGTAATTCCTGAGACTACCATTTTCTTGAAATTTAAATACCATCATGTAACATAATGACTCTGGTTGTTGCGTAATCCCATAGCATTTAACAACAAAAGAGAAATCATTCAGCAGAATGGAATGTTTCTCAATCTAAAATTTAAAATAAATTAGATTAATAATATAACTATAGTTAAACGAGGTTTAATATTCTTTACCTCATTTATAAAATCGTCAACTGAGCTAAGCTTATCTAAGCTTTTTAATGCTACCTTCCCATCAGGATAAATAGGACGTCTAACCCATTTCTTATTGTGAACATCCCAACTCCTAATATTACCATCTTCCCATGTCGCAGAATACACGGTGCCATACCCTCCTTTAGCGATATGTTTGACATCTTGAAATTGTGTATACGGTATCCATTCTAATACCTTAAAGTGATTCTCAGCTTGAAGCTGAGACTTTTGTATAAATTCGTCAATTTTTTTATCTCCACTTGTCCATTTATCAAAATTTTGCTGAAAGTGAATCCCATTACATAACATACACCACTCATATCTAAATTCTTTATTACATTCGGGACAATAATCAAGCATATTTGATCTCTTTAACTCGAATTTTCCACTGAATACAATATTATATGCATTGCATAATGTTACACGGACACAAAAATACGATTCTTCTTTTGAATAATCCGTTATTATTATATTTTGGGATTTTTTAAAATTTAACAAAAAAATTTTATTCAATTAAATTTTATACTGTATTTTAATCTATCATAACTAATCAATAAATTTATTTGTTTTTTTTTTGTAATTAAATATGATATGTAAAATTATCGAATCTTTTGAAAAAATTAAAATTATTATCATTATTTTATTGCAATCAGGCTGGCATCGTTTATTTATTAAATCTTTAAAAACCTATTACAAATATAAGAATAAATACAAAATATAAATCCTTTCAATCCGACAAGTCAATTCTAATCACAATTAACAGCCCATCCAAAGAACCTAACAAAGTCTATATGGGAACCAATCAAGAGGAAGTGAGAGAGCTGGATCGCAAGAGCCATACAAGATTTCTAGGCATCTGATTAGGCAATAAGGATCAGACCAAAGATACAATTAATAGAATCCAACAAGAGATCCAAGCAATTCTCCCTAGCCTGGGAAAAAAGCTGATCATGGATAGGCATGT